GGCAGATGTGCAGGCAAAATTTGTAGTATTGCCATTTTTTCTTTATCGCTCCTACCAGATGCCTCCGACCCAGACTGGCTCTGAACAACAATCGCATCATGAGATCGCACTTGCGTTGGACTCGCCCATGTCGTGGATAGTTCCTCCGAAGAATAGTCGGTGGCAACCAACTTTGTACCATTGTAGCTAGCTTGCTCTAACGACGCACTGGAAGAGGATTAATGTCCAGACGAGTAATCAGTGACCACCAACTTCTCATTCTCGGCATTAGAGGTTATGAAAGAAGCAGCCATCGGCGTGCAACAGTTGTCCACCGAAGTTGCGAAGCGCACCTCGCCGGAAACGTGGAACTCGTTTTGGAAGTCAGACGACTCTTTTCCTGCGGACGGTGTTGCTAAACCCCTAGGCAACCCTGAAAGCTCTCTCGAAAAGCGAGACTTTGTTTTCTGACGAACACAACACTGGACTGTTGGAACGACAAATTGTCGGAAGAGCTCGTTGGGGCCAACTCGAGGTCTTCTAGGTGAAAATGCAAGTCGATGGCCTGTTTGGTGTCCACAGCCTGGTTCATGCGGCCGTTCGTCGGACCGTCTTTTGCGCCATCATGTAGCCGTCGGTGTCGTGGACAATGTTCCCGTTAGGAAAATCGATCGAACTCTCTAGTGCGGAGTGAACGGGCAATTCAAATTTGTCTCCACACCCTGCAAAACAGCGGAGCAAAGTGTAAGAACGAATACTAAGAATATGCGTATTTGACCCGTCCTATCGAATATGTGTCGTTTCATTTCTTTCTATTTTGAGGAAGGTCGTGCAGTACAACTTTGATAGGACGGGTTCGTTTGGGGTTTCCGAGAGCAAAAAATAGGGTCCCGTCGGGCAGGTTAGCTTGTGAAGGTCGTTGCAATTTAGTATCGGGCGTCGTCCATTGTTTCCTTCTGAGGGATAGAGTTTTTTTCCATTGCAAACTGGGGGGGCGGGCATAATGGGTCTTGGCGGGCTATTTGGGTCTGGGTCCTTTCCGCATTTGTTTTTTTTCTCTTCTACTGCATCTTCCCAAAAATACAGTATCTCAGCATTCTGCTGTTTACTAGGACCAAGTAAGCACGGACTGCCCTGCCTCTTGGCAGGCTTACTAAGAAAAAAAAAAAAAAAAAAAAAAAAAGTATTCACTTTCCGAAAAAAAAAGAAGGAAAAACGAACTTACCTTTGCCCCCAGAGCCGTGGAGATCGAGGGCCTTGCTCCACTACTGATCAAATGTGCAACATGAGCATAAATGTTCTTTTAGAACACAGGTAGATACACCTCTAGTAGTTTAGAGGTTGAAACGCCCCTTTTCCTGGCCGCCTGTGGGGTGGTAAGGTCTTCAGCCAACACGGGTGCGAGTCAGCGTGTGAGTGGGTTGCGTGAGGTGTGTGGGAGAGTGTTGGGTTTGGACACTACCATCCAGAAGCTGCCCATCCCCTACTTCATAACACCTTAGCCAAGATTACTGTCTAGAACATAAAGCATGCTACTCAAATGGCTGCGTCCCGGCGTTTGACGCGGTATAACAGTCCCCACCTTTGAAGCTGGGTACGCCCCAGCGGTCTGTCTGTGTTCGCAGCCAGGAGGCTGCGCCTTGTGTGGTTTGCATTTCGTCGTTTCATGTCCTTTCCATTTTGGGTAATGTCGTGCAGTACAGCGTTGCTAGGATGGGTCCGTTTGGGGTTTCCGAAAGCAGAAAAAGGGTCCGGTCGCAGTCGTCCCTAAGACCGGTCACAGGGCAGGTTAGCTTGTCCAGGTCGTTCGAAAAGCAGCATAAGGCGCCATCCACAGTTTCCCTTTTGAGGGGTGGTGTTTTTTCCCGTTTCAAAATAGCGGAGGACGATTTGGGCCTGGGGCGTTTCTGCTTTTGTTTTTCTTTTTCAGTTTGAACTGCATCTCCCGAGAAATATGGGAAACATTCATCTGTTTACTGCTATGAAGTGTCGAAAAACGAGAAGGGAGTGCCCTGCCTTGTTGGCAGGGCTTACTAAAAAAAAGGCGAGAAAAGAGCTATCGAGATCTAGGGCCTGGCTCCACGACTCACCGAATGTGCAAAATGAGAACGAATAGTCCTGTAGAACATGGGTAGATACACGGCAAGTAGTTCAGAGGTTGAAATGGCATTTTGCCTTTGTTTTTTTTGTTTTTTTTTTCGGAAGAAGAATGTCTTCTGTTTCTCACGGGACTCCGCCTGAGAGGCGGGGGGAGCAATCTATGGGCCTCGTGCAAAATGAGAATCAATTTTCTGCTAGAATATGGAAAGATACACGGCCATGATTTGTGTCTTTTGAGCATGTCGAGAGTAGTGGGAGGACGCCCTATTGCTTTTGTCAGCCCCCTTCTTTTCAAGGCATTCTCACGCAGCCCTGTCTCACGCAGCCCTGTCCACAATCCCCTTCTTTTCAAGGCATTCTCAGGAAGCCCTGTCCACAATGCATCTGACTGTACCTCTGGCCAGGCATGAGGTGGTAAGACAAGGCCTCAGTAGCTTGCTATTCATTTTTAAACTTTTTCTTCTTTTTTCTTTCCTTTTTTTTATTTTTCTTTCTTTTTTATTTTTTTATTTTTCTTTTCTTAGGGTGTTTTAGAGGCCAAGGACCAGACCCGCGGTGATTCCTGGTAGCGGCAGCCAATGGATGTCCTGACAGGATAGGCCACCTACCCTACTCTCAGCGCACCCCCTGTCACTACTATCCTACCTCGCTGTGACCAGCACTCAGGACCATCGCCCTACCAGTATCAGGGCAACTTGGAGCAGACAGCAGTGACAACCACCAAGGCTGGGCCAACCTCCCAGCCCTGATGGAAGCGGAAGCGGACGAACCTTGCCGTACGGGAACTTCGGACGCCAGGCTCATGCAATCTTCTGCAGGCCCAATTCAGAGAGTCTACCCAGCAGGATTACCTAAGCAAGGCAGGCCAGCGCCCGCGGACACATCCTACCGTCCTTCCCCTTGCTTACCCAAGGCTAGGCGGAACTCAGACTAGCCGGAGCGACTTATATCCCTACTCCTACCCTAGAGCTAAGCCATGCGTGAGCAGACCCCGTCATATACCTGATATACCCCCCCTGCCCAGTATCGTAGTTGTGTGTATGTGTGTATGGCCTGAGGCTATGTATGTTTGTATGAGCCCATAGGGCCATGTGTTTGTGTATCTGCCCGAAGGGTATGTGTGCTCTGTCTAACTGTATAGCGAGATGTATGTGCCCGAAGGCCAGATATGTGCAGTACTATGTAGAGGGAACTCTGTGTTCATTTGAAGAGATGACAGGCCAAGCTAGACAAGAACCCCCCCCAAACTCCCAAGCCAGACTAGAACCCTTGACTGGGGAGATCTTCAGAACAACCACGAGCAACAGCCACAAGCAACCCACACAGTATCAAGACCCGACATACAACACCATGGACAACCCTTGGGTGGTGCACAGGCAGT